TAATTCTATATATATGTCTATCTACTCTCATTTATTATTATATTATATTCAATTTTATTTAATTATATATATATAAAGTTGGAATAATACTGTAACAGCATCAATGATTATAGCACACATCAGCCATAACCACATTAATTTAATTCACCTATATTTTATCATCTTCAAATATCAAATAAAAGAAGGCAGCAGTTATATATACTTTATTTAATTTAATCCGAGAATGAACTGGACATTGTAAGATCATCATGATTATCTGTAAATAAACAATGAATCATGTTGAACAAACGTAATGGATGATATTAATTTTTGATATAAAATATATACTGCCCGATCTTACGAATTTTTACATCACAATAATTTTAAAATCAACAACTCAAAATACTTATACATCTATTGTCAACCATTATATCAAATAGATTATGTTAAAGTAGCATTATTCATAAACTAACACACAGAAAAGGAAAAAATAAAATAAAATAAAATTGATGAATCTCCTCTTCATATCTGACCTGTAAATTTATTCTACAAGACTAATATTATTACTTCTTGGATCGTCTCTTGTTACAAACACCACAAAACACACCCGTGCCGACGGTGCTGACAACTGATGCACAAATTTATTTATTTTTTTTAAAAAAAAAGGAATATGAAAAAAAATAAAAGAACTCGGTGAGTATTGATTAATAATTAAATTTGTAAAACTAAATAAATAAATGCGCCTTTGACAACAAATCATGAATATACCGTCGACGTGTCGGTGCATACTGCATAGTATCATGAGGCCCAAATTAGAAATGGGCCCCCAATCAATTTAATGGCCCGATTCAATTGATGATCAATCATTCTGTCGGTGGGCGAATGTTATTGTGTTAGGCTTTTCCTTTTCTTTTTTTTCACTTTTCACTTAAGCTTAAAGAGAAAATAATATAAANCTACAAATAAAACAAAGTTACACGAAAAAAAAAAGGAAAGAATTTACTTGTCATATATATGTGGTGCCAAAATAAATAAAATAAAATAAAACTTACATACTCCTCTGTTTTTTCCTTGTCTAAATTGTCATTGCGAACCAACAACTCCAATTGTGTCCTGCTCGAACTTCTTGATGACGGGCGCAAGCCTCTTCATGGTGTCGTCATAAATGTAAGGGACTTTGTCAAGCCACGTGGTGGCGTTGGCTGCAGAAGGCGGCAGCAAGTGGCGGCAGAGCTCGCCGGAGACAGTTATGGAGTTGTGGTAGTGATAATACCGGATTTTAGTCTCCGTCTTGTGGAGGGTCCCACCCGCCACATTCTCCGACATGTGGACACCTGTCGCGTAAGCATTGCTCGCCTGTATAGCATACTTTCGGTCTCGTCTTATTCTCGTCCGGGAGTCTCTGAACAGAAGCTTCTCGAATCCCCATTGCCTGATCCATTTTTTTATTATTATTTTTTTGAAAAAAAATTCAATTCATTTATGACTATAATGTGTAATAAAACATTCACGCACATAGCATGTTTGTGATTTGGATCCAACGATGAAATCTACCTTCTGATTAGGCATGTTGCCGGAAAATTAACGGGAATTAATGTTTTTGGTGGCAGCATTTAATTCTTTTTGGCCAATGACAGTGAAGTCCAGTTCAATTACAATGAAGCACAGCAAAATCAACCAAACCATTATTGCCAACAAATTTAAGTACTCCAATCTCCTTCAATCACATGTGTTCAGTTTCAGTACATTCAATTATTGGATTAGCTCACGTCAAATGTCACCAAATGAATTCCCAATTCCACAAACCATTGCAGAATTTGCAGGGAAAATTTCAGTAACGCTGCATAAAGTAATAAATAAATAATTAATTAATGGGGATGAGAAATTAATTAATTTACCTGGAATAATCCTGTGAAGATTGATTGAGACAGAGGAGGCTGGACATGGCATTTTGCTCAATGGTGAATTGCGTGTAGTTGGAGAATTCAGAGAGCACAGACTGTAGCGTATTCCCGTCTGGAAGGTACAAATACTCGTCCACGTCGAAATAGAATGTCCAGTTTGCCACGTGGCGGTATCTGTGGAGGCAGTCGTTCACCACCAGAAACTGGTTGTAATAGTACCCGTCGTACTCCGCCTGAGCCCGAATGTCTTGCAATGTGACCCGACCCGCCTTCACCCACGGATCCAGCACGGACCGAACCGGACCCGACACCCCGCCCGCATCGTGGAAGACAAAGTGGGAGCTCGGCCCGAAGAACCACGCGTGGTACGCCACCCACTCTCGGATCCGGGCCGGGTTAAGGTCCCCGTACAGAGACGACCCGCAGTAGAGGTACTCGTACCTGCGCGGCGGCCGGAACGCGGACTCGTTGTACGACCCCGGCGCCTCCTCCAGGGCGGCGAACCTCTCGAACCGGCGGGGGGACTCGCCGTAGTAGGCGTTGACCATCAGCCGGCCGCCGGCGTTGTCGCCGTTGGGGTTCTCCGGGAAGGTGCAGTTCACGACGACGACGGTGTACACGCGGCCGTAGCCCCAGTCGGGGAGCATCTTGTAGGCCTTCGTCCGGATGGCGGGGCCGCCGCCGGCGGGGACCCACTCGCACTTGTACCAGGGGCGGCCGAAGACGTGGGTGGGCTTCGAGGCCAGGCCCACCACCGCGAACGTCCGCGGCCCGCCGCGGTAGGCGCCCATCTGGACGAAGAGCGCGGCGGCGCTGCCGTGAGCCTGGAAGGTGCGTCGGTTGGGGTCGCCGGAGGAGACGAGCTTCTTCTCGGCGGCGGCGGATCTGAGGGGGAGGGACTCGGCGGAGGTGCAGGGGGCGGCGGCGGCGGCGGTGGTGGAGAGGAAAATGTTCTGGTAGTAAGGCTGGAGGTTCCAGACGACGGCGACGAGGGTCAGGGAGAGAAGGAGGGCGAGGAATGACTTGGTCTCGAAGCAGAGGAAGAGCTTTCCGACGGGGTTGAGGGCGGCGGGCGGCGGCGCTCCTCCGTCTTTCTTCATTGAGCCGGCGGGGCGACAGCGGAGCACTGACCACTTCTCTTAAAAGGAATTTGTCCGACAGCTTTTTTGTGGTGTGTTTGTGTGTGGGCAGTGATGGTGAGAATTGATAATCAAAAAGATTTTGGTTTTGGAGCAAATAAATAAATAATTAAATCGAATTTATTTCTTTTACCTTTATTTATATATATATATTTCGATATTCAATTATTGTTTGGGGCTTCACACAGCTACCCTACCGAGTACCGACCTCCAAAGAAGAAAGAGAAGGTTATATTTATAGACAATAACAAATTACGCCCATAGATCTCGTGTTATTTACGGAAGTGCACTCATCATTGTGTGTTTCGTCCCAGTCCCCACATGGATGTATTGTAGTATTAGTAATTATTGTACTGAAATTGGAATTGTCCAGTTACTTTAGTTTACACATCCTATATACTTTTTTATTTCACATATATTCCGTGCATCGGACGGAAGAGTTCATATTTTAAATATTTTTTTAGATTTTATTTTAAATATAATTATTTATATTTTTCACATCTCGAAAATAAAATAAATACAATGAATGAAAAATATATATTATTAAATACTTCTCTTTATACAATATTTTTTATTTAAGGAATATTATTAAACCTTACGGTTTTTATTTGTTTTTTTAAATCAATAATCCAAAATATATGATTGTTAACGTACAAAAAATAATGGAAATAATCCAGACTTTAAAGTAAAGCTATTTTTTTATTATATTACAAATAAAAATCTTCCAAATTTTTTTTAATTTCAAAAAAAAATTGGCAAGTTTGATAATGAGTTAAATCAAGTTATACAAATGATTAAATAGTTAAAATGTTATATTAATTATATTTTAAGAAATCCAATTATATAAAAATGGGTAAAAAAATATTATACTAATTAGTTTGTTAGGATTGTGATTATATGGAAGTTAAAATAAAATGAAATGTAACCAAAAAATTTGTTCGTGGTCTTTTCCTCTAAATATTTGAATTTAAAAATCTAGTAACCAAATTTACATTATATCACGTAAGGAAAAAAATAAATAATAAATATTTATTAAAGAGATAAATCAATAATATTTATCACTTAGATAATAAATAATAAATATTTACATGTAAAAAAATAAATAATAATATATTTAAAAATATAAGTCATAATCTCAAATAAAGTAAAAGGAGGGATAACACATTTTTTAAAAAAGTTTCTAAATATTTAATATATTGATAAGTATCTCCATAAAAATAATCATACTATTTTAATTTTAAAAAACTTGGCAAGTTTGTTAGAGAGATAAATCCAGTTAGACAAATGATTAATTTGTTAAGATATTATATTAATTGTATCATAAAAAAATCGGTTAGATAATGTAGATAAAAAAATATAATACTAATTAGTTTGTTAGAAATGTGATAATGAAAACCAAGATAAAATGAAATTTACCCAAAAAAATTTGTTTGGAAATCTTTTCCTTTAAATGTTTAAATTTACAATTTTAATACCGAAATTCTATTATATCACATAAGGAAAAAATAAATAATAAACATTTATTAATATATTAAAATATGTAATTTTGAATTTCATATAAAGTAAAAGGTATGATCATTCAAATTTATTTTTAAAATAAAAGTTATGATAAACATTTATTGATTCTCTTTCAAGTATATTAATAAAATAAAAATATAAATCTAAAAAAATTTTGAAACAACCAAAAAAATCGGATTGATTGGCATAAAAAAAGGAAGTGAAATCGGATTTGAATGCTAAAATCGGAACACCTTACCAAATTGGATGCTAAAAGATTCGATTTGATTGGTTACCTAATTGCATGGGCTGTAAAAATTCAAAAAAAAAATTTACGAATTGAAGAAGCGGGAAAAACACTATATTGAAGCGGGAAAACGAAATGATTTTTTTTGGATTGTTCAAATAATTTTTCTTCTCCGTATTATATAATAATAGATTNATTATTTTAATTTAAAAAATAACATTATAATCTAAAAATATGAACATCGATTCAGAGAATTACTATGAGAGTTCAAAAGGCGCTTACACTTTTAGAGCATCTCCAATGTGAGATGTTGACTTAATAAAATGTTAGCCACATCATCAAGTTATAAAGTGATTACAAAAATTACTCTCCAATCCATAATGTTATGGACTCTTTTACGCTGACATGGAGACAATAAATATCCAAAGTGTGAAGCCCACTTTCTAGTTTTTCAAAGAGTGTTTGAAAGCCAATTCAATATGAAAGGCTAGTTAACTTATGCTTCTATTGTGGCAAGATCGGTCACCTGGACAAAGCTTGTGCCAAGAGACTTGCTGACATTGACAAAAGCTGTGTCATGGAAGGGCAATATGGAGAGTGGCTTCGTGCCCCTGAGAATGGTGGATTCTCGAGAAGCAACTACTCTAGTTCTCCCTCAAGGCAGAACACAAATTCTCCTCAGCAGGATAAAAATGGCTATCAGGGTTCTTCTAGTAAAATTAATGTGGCCAGTGGCAGTGGTAAGGTGGCTGGTGTTGAAGAGACTGGTGAGGCTCAACTGTCATCTCAGAGTAAACTAAAGAATATGCAAATCATAGGACAGAGCAGCTCTTCCCAGGAAGTTCATAATACCTCTAGTAAGCAGATTGTATCAATTATGGCCTCTCATGATGAGGAGCACAATCATCAGCAGATTGTTTGTATTGGCCAGCACACGGAGCCAGATCTTCCAATGTTAGATGTGCAGCAAGATACTCACAAATCCTCTCAGATTTCCACTCAGCCATCTTCAAGCTCTCAACCAACCACTAGCAAAGTCAAGGGCTGGAAAAGATCAAAAATTCAGGATGGCAGACTTCTAAGAAGCAATTCCCAAACAGATAATGGAAGTAACCAGGAGTCTCATAAGAGGAGTAGAGCTTTGATGTGTGTTCCAGCTCAGTTCTCAGAAGAAGAAGGTCAGCTCACAAGAAATAGAAAGAAATCCAAAAGTACCATTGCTAAGGTGGACGAAGCCAGCCTAAAGTGGCCCCAAGTGGATCAATGAAGATGATCTTGTGGAACTGTAGAGGGTTGGGTGGACCCTCTATAGTTTCCCAACTTAAGGATTCTATTAGAATCCACCACCCCAGTTCTATTTTCCTTTCTGAGTCAAAAAAACAAAAAGATTTTGTTAAAACAGTTTGTACTAAGCTTGGTTATAAAGATAGATGGGTTGCTGTTGATCCCATTGGTATTAGTGGAGGTCTTGTTCTTCTTGGGGACAGTTCTCAGAGTATCCTTCAGATTATTCATCATTCTTTTTGCTTTGAAGTTTAAGTCAGTAAGTCAGATAGCAGTGGCTCGTTTTGGTTAGTCTTTGATTATATGAGTACATACAGAGCTACCAGGGAGGATCAGTGGAGGTTTCTGATTAATGCTAAATCTAAATGGGGGCAGGATTGGCTTATTGGTGGAGATTGGAATGCCATTGTGGATATCAGTGAAAAAAGAAGAGGCAAAGATAAAATTCTTGCTGATATGATTAGTTTCCAGAATTTTATTAACCAAATGAGCATGGTGGAGGTGACTATGCAAGGTCATGAATATACTTGGTCCAACAATAGATCTCATGAACACTTTGTGGAGGAAAAACTTGATAGAGTTTTTGGTTCCTTGTAGTGGTCCTCTTCTCATAGCTCTGCCATGGTTCTGAATTGTTACAAAACTGCTTCTGATCACAGTCTTATGGTATTAGTCAGTGAGCTCACTCAGAGAAAATCCAAAGCCAGGTTCATCTTCAACAAACAATGGGTTGAGAAACAAGATGTTATGGCAGTAGTTAAGAAAGCCTGGGAACCTCTGTGCAGTGGAACTCCTATGTTCCAGTTTCAAGAAAAGATCAAACAAACCAGGGTGGCTCTACTTAAATAGAGCCAAACATCTCATTCCAACAATGCTACCAAAATTCAAAAACTCACTCTGCAGCTAGAGGAAATGAGACTGCTCAGTGATGGGAAAAATTGGGAAAGCTGGGAAAGGTTGAAGAAAGAACTTGATGAAGCTCAGTGTGTAGAAGAAATCTTTTGGAAACAAAAGTCCAGGAACCTATGGTTAAGAGAGGGTGACCAGAATACAAGGTTTTTTCATGCTTTGACTGTGCAGAGGAGAAAAATAAATGCTATTACCAGATTGGTTGTGGATGGTGGGAGAGTCTGTGATACCAAAGATGAGATAGAATCTGAGTCCTGAAAATTCTACAAAAAGCTATTCACTTCTGAAAGTGCTGGTGAGGAGGGAAACATCATTCAGCTTATTCCCAGAGTCATAACCACCGAGATCAATTAGAACCTGCTTGCCTTAGTTGATGAAGATGAGATAAAAGCTGTCTGGTTCAGTATGAACCCAGAGAAGGCCCCTGGTGCTTCAGGTATGACTCCTTTAGTTTTCCAACACTTTTGGCCCATTATTAAGCAAGATCTTTGTAATGCTGTTTTGAGTTTCTTTGATTCATCCATGTTGCTGAAAAGCTGGAACCATACCATCATTACCCTCATTCCTAAGTGCTTTAATCCATCTACCTTAAGTGATTTTAGGCCCATCAGTCTCTGTGAAGTGTCTTACAAAAATATTGTCAAAATCCTTGCCTCCAGAATCCAACCTTACCTTCATTTATGTGTGAGTGAGAATCAAGCTGCATATATTCCTGGTAGGCAACTTCTTGACAATGTAGTCTTGGCTCATGAGGTCATTCATTTTCTGAATAGACATAGAACTGGTAGGCAGGGGTATTTGGCTCTTAAACTTGACATGATGAAGGCTTATGATAGGCTTGAATGGCAGTGCTTGATGCATATTCTTCTTCAGTTTGGCTTTCATAGTGTGTTTGTTGATTGGATCATGGAATGTGTCTCCTCCACTTCGTTTTCACTTAACATTAATGGGACTTTATGTGGCTATTTTGATGCATCCAGAGGGATTAGGCAGGGGGATCCTCTGTCCCCCTACCTTTTTATTTTGGCATCTGAACTATTTTCCAGGCTCATCAAAAGAGAAATTGATCTGGGTTCTTTGAAAGGGGTCAGGCTGGCTAAGGGAGGGGTCAGATTATCCCACTTGTTGTTTGCTGATGATTCCTTATTATGTTGTGGAGCTGATGTTACTTCCATTCAGGCTGTGCTGAGAATCCTGGATAGTTATCATAAATTTTCTGGGCAAAAAGTTAATTTACTGAAATCTTCTATTTTCTTCAGCAAGAATGTGCCTACTAACCTGAAAAATGAGATTTGCCAGCTTTTGCAAAGAATTCAAGTTCACAGGTCCTCTAAATATCTTGGCCTCCCTCTTGGGTTTGGTAAATCCAAGAAACAAACATTTGAGTATGTGGTCCAATCTGTCAGAAACAGGGTGGCTAGCTGGAAGAACAACTTTTTGTCCACTGCAGGCAAAGCTGTTTTGCTTAATTCTGTATTACTGCCATCCCTATCTTCAAAATGTCTTGCTTTTACTTACCAAAGTCCACAATTAGAGACATTACTGCTATCTGTGCCAAATTTTGGTGGAAAAATGGTGGGGAAAATGCTACTGGTGTTCATTGGAAAAGGTGGTCTCTAATCACTCTGCCCAAAATTCTTGGTGGCCTTGGTTTTCTTGATTTGCAACTGTTCAATGATGCACTGATACTCAAACAACTATGGAGAGTTGCTACATTTCCTAATCTATTGGTCAGCAAATTCCTAAAAGGCAAGTACTTTCCATCTGGGTGCATTTTCAAAGCCACTGCCAGGCAAAATGCTTCTTGGTTATGGTCCACTTAGATGACTGTCAAAGAGAGATACAAACACTGCTTTCAAATTAGAATTGGTGATGGCCTTACTACTCACATATGGAAATACCCCTGGACTGGCTCCACCCTTCTCAATAGGCCTCTCAGTTCAGACAACTCCAATGACAACATCATGGGTTTGGCAACTTATGGAAACTGGTGGTAGAAAGTGGAATGGCTCTTTGATTAGAGAGCTCTTCAATGCAGAAGACAGTGACAAAATCTTAAGCATCAAAACTGTGGACCCTCATAAGAAAGACAAATGGATTTGGAATAATGAAGCAAGAGAGGAGTTTATCGTTGCCAAAGCATACTCAAAGCTGGTGGAAGATAAATTCAGAAATCTTGATGTGGCAGAAAGCAGTTCATGTGGGCCAGCACTTAGAAGGATCAGAACCAGAACTTGGAAGCTTAATGTGAAAGGCAAATTGAAGCACTTTCTTTGGAAGTGTTTCTCTGCTGCCTTACCTGTCAAAGAGGAACTCAGAAGAAGAGGGCTTTTTGTTGATGCTATATGCCAGTCATGTGGGGAAAACACTAAGTCTGTTGAGCACATTTTCTTCCACTGCAAGAAGGCCAAAGAAGTCTGGAAGCTCTCACCTATTCATTGGGATATTGCCACTGACAATTCAACAAAGTTCAGGATATGGTGGCATGATGTGTGCTCTGTAAACAAGCTCGAGGTTTCTGAGGCTAGAATAAAGCTCACCACATATATTTTGTGGTGGATTTGGAAAGCCAGAAACCTCTAGCTCTTTAAGAAGAAATGGCTGCCAGCACCTTGCATAATGAAGCTTGCAAGGAATGATTGGCAAGAATTTGCTAAGAGGAAGAAAACCTGACTGTGAGGACATGAAGTGTGCCTAGGTTCTTTGGTTCAGTGGGTGCTTCTGTTCAAGTAGGCTGGAAGTTGGTGTGAGGTTGTTGCTGTTGCTGTCCTTTTTTGTATTTCTGTTGCTGTTTAGTTTGCTAGTTGATGTTCATTCTGTTTGATCTGTGTTGGCTGTACTGTGTTGATTATGTCTGTATGGATGGGTTCATGGCAATGTTAAGGGTTACAAATTTTATTTGGCCTTAGCATGTGCTTTGAATTCATCTTGTGATTTCTTTTCTTTCCTAGTTTGGTTTTTATCTAGAGCACCTTCGTGTTTGGTGTCTCTCTTGTATTGGCTCCAGTTGGATCCCGGGTTGTATCTTTTGTACATTCAGTGCTATAAAATGATCTATCGTTTGGGAAAAAAAAAAGATGCATTGGAGATGTGCATTCAAAATTAAAGTCTTCTCTTTTGATATTCATATTACATGGATTTACATTCCATTCATCATTTGACATGTGTTTAAATTTAATTAATGTTCAAAGTGGAGCATTGGAGATGCTCTTATAGCCAAGAAAAAGATACAATGCCGACAAATTTGCACCAAACACTAGCAAGCATCACATGATAAATGTCACTAGACATGGCCGCGGGCCGACCCGGACCGAGAATCGGCGTTTATAGTGTAAATTTAGGATTTTTTTTTTATTATTATAATTATTATTTTTTATTGATTTTCGACATTTTTTAATTTTTTCTTTTTTGCGGGCTAACAAATCTCGGTCGTTGGATCACAACGATCCAACGGCCCATATTAATTTTTTTTTTTTAATTTTGACCGTTGGGCCTAGATCCGGACCAACCCGAACCGTGGCCCAGGGAGGGCCCAACGGATACTCGGTATGGGCAGGGCACGGGCATCTGACAGTCTGCCGGGTCGGTCCGGTTCGACCCGGCCCGGCCCGACACGACAAATATAAAATTAATTAAAAAAATTAAAAAATAAGGAGACCATTGCCCGCGGTCGGCCCGTGGCCCGACCCGGCCCAGACCGAACCGCCGGGACAAAAAAAAAAATTGAACCTGGACCGAACCGCGGCCCTTGCAGTTCGGTCCAACGAACCGGCCTATGTGGCCGGTTACGGGCCGGTTCGGTCCGGTCTGGTTCCACACCACAACTTCACCATCTCTCTCTCTTCTCTCTAAATCTTCTAAGTTCTATCTTTCTCTTAGTGCTCGGTTTTTAGTTTTGTGTTCGGTTTCTAAAAAAATAAAAAAAATCCGAAAAAAAAACCATATCTCCCATTCTTTTTTATTTCATCATATTCTATATTAATTTTTTCCAATTTATTTTTTATTCTTTAAATTAAAAAATATCGAGCTCTCGTAGTGGTCGTGGTTCGAATTCCGGACAGAAACGTAGAAATATCGGCACGTCTTCCTCGAGACCTCCATTGCCGGAATTTGCGAGTCCATCGATACATGTGGATGTTCCCGGTGTCGCCGATGATATTGATGAGGCAATGATCGAGCGCATGTTTGGCTCAATTCAGCCTGAGCAACAAGAGCAGCAACAGCCGTATCACGACCATTTCGATGATATATTTGGAGCGCCCCCGCCGGAGGTTCAGCAACCGATGCAGCAGCAGCCGGACCCGGCCTCTGTCTTCGCCCGTGGCAGATAGAGATCTGCCATGTTCAAACAACATTACACGAAGGTGGCCAGTCCGGAAAGAGGTGAGAATCACTTTTTTGCTGTTTGCAACTACTGTCCAATCAACGACCAAAAGAGGTACCATTTCAAAGAAGGCAATGGGTACGGATCATTGAAAAGACACTTACAGAGTTGTCATCCGAAAAAATTGGGAATTGACATGGCAGAGACGCAATTCCCGAGTCGTACCACTGCATCTGCCACGACTGGTACAGGTACAACATCTTTATTTCAGTACTCACATGAAAATCATAGACGCCATTTAGCTGAATTTGTTTCTGCTTCGTCTCTTCCGTTTAGTTTTGGTGATAGTGATTTATATGAACATTTTGCTCAAATGGCTTTGAATCCGGCTGCCCACCGGGTTCCACGTACTACTCTTACTCGCGATATTCAAAAAATAGTGGCCGAAAAAAATTTAATTTTGCAAGAAACTTTTAAATATTTAAATCATAGAGTATCCATTTGTGCTGATATCTGGTCTGATCATTAGCAGAATAACTTTTATTTGGGAATTACTTGTCATTGGATAGATAAAAATTGGAGTTTACAAAAACGTTTAATTACTTACGTTGCATTT